CAAGAGCTCATTAACTCGTTGACCTGCGATTGCGCATGCTCTTCGCTGTCTCCGCCTCTGCGCTCAGACGCGTTTTTATGGCTAAGTGCGACGAGACCAACGAAACGAGTGATTGCGTATCCATCCATCTCTCGTTTGTAATTACTTCCCCGAATTCGAAATTGTGTTGTTATTTCAATCAGTCTTAGGTGGTGAATTTCACTGATGTTGCTTTTGTCAACGTTCAATCGTTCAATTGAATCTCGTGTTCAAGGTGCAGCTGAAGTCAAATTGCTCACAAATTAATTTTTAGCGTGCAAAATGACCACATTACCAGGCCAGTTTTCAACATCATTAATATTCAACGATCATCATCGTGATTTAATTCACTGTGTGGCATTCGATTTTCATGGAAGACGCATAGCGACATCTTCAAGTGATATGATTGTTTGTGTATGGAATCAGTCCTCGAATGGTGTATGGCAGAAATCTGCTAGTTGGAAGGTACTAGTTCTAGTGATATTCTAATTAATGTTCGTTCGAGAGCAGCTTTCTGTCTGGGGATTGCATCGGATAGTAACTCAGCAAGGAGAACTTCGAACAAAAATTCGAGAGATAAAATTGTCGGGAACAGCTAACCGTCGGGTTCGACGCTTCCCGACGAACACCAGTTCTAGATAGTAATAAATTCGTGATTCTGATCAATAGCGCTGTTGGCCTTCATAATGAGTGCATTGCTCAAATCAGCAAAACTATCAGGGAATCATGTGCAGCGTTCACAGTTACTCAGAGTAGATAAAATCGAAAAGATTCTTGCAGAGTCACGGTGGTCCTGTATGGCGAGTTATTTGGGCACATCCGGAATTCGGACAGATCCTTGCGACGTGCTCCTTTGATCGTAGTGTTATCATTTGGGAAGAAACTGGTTCGCATTTTTGATTTTGATTGATCACCCTGTGCTTTACAAGTGTAACTAATTGTTGATAAGGAACACACCAACGCAGGTTTATATTGATATAAATATTCACTCAAATCTTTCAATTCCAGTTGTAATCCGGTAATGTGTTGAAAATATGATCTTCGAAAAAGTCAAATGATATCATCTATGATTCAATCACATTCTAATTTCCCTCTCCTTATTTCATTTTCCGTTCGGATATCGTAGTCTCATTCAAGTTGTTGATGAGTATTACTTACAGTTCGATCTGAAGACGAGACCTTATCGCGCAATGGAATGCAGTCATCCATGAAAGCAAAAAGCCGCACACATTGGAAAAGATGTTGTCAGTTGGTTGACAGTCGTCATAACGTTACTGATATCAAATTTGCACCGAGACATCTTGGACTTATGCTTGTATGATTTTCGGATTACTTTTATTTTCTTCAGCATTTGTTCCTTTATTTCCTGTTCACTTAAAATTCATTCGTTAGAATCACAAAGGCCACAGATTATGTAAACTAACAGCCTCGCAACAAATCAGTATTGACGAAATCGGTTGCTATTAGATTTAGATTTCTTTTTATTTGATTTCGTGAAATCCTCATGTTTCAAAAACTTGTCTTTACGGTCTTTACAACATGCTCGAGTTGTTTGTAATGTTTTGAATACCGTAAGGGGTACGTGAGGTGAAACTTATCATGTTTAAATTGTTGCGTTTGTGGAACATTGGCTGTGAGTAATGAATAGGATTCGTATCCATTTATTTTTAATGCCCTGAATTTGTGCACAATCGTGAAGTAACTGAATTTAAGGCAACCGTTTCGTCGCAAGGAATGCTGCGTATCTATGAAGCACCGGATGTAATAAATTTATCGATGTGGAATCTGAATACCGATATAACCGTATTCAAATACAGATGCAGTGCATTAACGTGGAGTTCGAATCGACTTAAAAAGCCATTGATCGCGATCAGTTCTGATGACAGAGAGGATGTTCCAAAATATATTGCCATTTATGAATATCACGATAGTCTCAGGTTCATTCCTTCTTTCACATTAATTGTAATTTTTATCATAACGAACATTTTTATCACCCATTATGCAGACTCTTATGATAATGTGTATGCGTTGTCTATTTCTGAAAATTAATTTACTAAATACGAAGATTTGAAAGTTAGGGAGGAATAACTTGAAGTGAGAAGCATCGTTCCAAAGTTGTCAGGTGCATATGCGGATAATGGAGTCTATGATTTGAATGGATAGTGAGTAGTAATTCATTAATCGGTTATACTGATTACTTTTAGGAAATGGCAGTTACTAAATTCATCAGCTATAAAAGTCGATGAACCAATCCACGATATTGCATTTGCTCCGTCAGCGGGTCGTTCTTATCATTTGTTGGCGATCGCTGCGAAAAATATATCGATTTATAAATTGAATGAGGACGTCAGGAACGATAACCCTTCGCAGACAACTTTCTACAATATCGATCTCGTTGAAATACTCGAGAATTCTAGTCCATCTTACGTTGACGTTAGTTTGAACGGAACTTAATTTTGAGTTATTCTTTATCACTTCAATGTTATATCATGTTTTGAAATTTTCCAATTCTATGTCGCTAAAATTCAGCTGAATTATTCAATGTTTGACGAATATTTCTTGGTAATAATATTGAAAAATAATTGTTTTATTTTCTTCTTGATTGAAATCGTGATCTTAATGTTAGATGTGGCGTCTTTCGTGGAATATCACCGGAACAATCTTAACAGCAGGAAGTTCCGATGGGAATGTTAGAGTATGGAAAGGTAGAGTATTCCTTAAATAAATGTTTAAGTGATGTAGTCAACTGCTAACCTCATGTTCGCCTTTTATACAGCTTTATGTGTACTTCTTCTTGAAAGAGTTTACATGCAGTGATGAAGCCTATATCAAAATAATCATATTTATGATGAGATTAATATGGAATTAGTTTAGTTTTGAGTTGATTTGAATTATGTCGTTGTGGGATAAGTTCTGAGGCTAAAATGAAGTTCTGATTACGGGGAAGAGATTAACTTAATTCTCGACTCAAATACCAAAGATTATTTTGCTTATGGTGGTTATTTTTTCAAATATTTGTACTTGTTATTATTAGGTATAAGTGATCGTTTCTTGTCAATATTTCAGCAAATTTCCTCAAGAAGTGGCCTTTGATAGCGACGATAAAGTCGTCGGAAAGTTGCAAGACGGACGATCCGAATAAAACTACAACAATAAGTGCTTTACCAAAACAGAATCATGTTTATTATTGAAATATTGAATGCAGCGTTATTTATTGTTTTGTTATCTTTCTTTGAATTGTCATCGCAGAAGATGTAATGGACGTATTTTTCAAATCTTCTACGTTTCAAAACGTCTCATTGATGTTGTTCGGACGTATCAGTTCGTTTCGTACAAATTCTTGCAATCATTTCAGTGAACTTTCTGTTTAACAAAAATTTTTCATTGAAGGTTGTTTCAAAGTTTTTCGTTCTCGATCAATTGTCACAAATGAATGAGTCGTGTTTCGTGTGAAAATTTCAGTGGGATATTTTCTGAGTTCCCAGTTTTAAATAACTCAATTTGTTCGTTTGTGTTGTGTTTCTGAGATGTAGCATACTGCCATATTGATCATTTCTTCTCATCAGAAAGTGTGGAATTGTTTCTAACATTTTAAACTCTCATTTATTAAGCTGCAAGTTTTCGTTCATTGCTCTTATTCATTCGGAATTGTATCTTCACAAAATGTTTCCCCTTCATTGGTTAACTGTAAAAATATTTTTCTGCGGATTTTGTTCGATCACCGGGCGGATGGATTAAAGATATGCTGAAGTTGCGTATCATTATGTACTTATGATTATTATATGTTCTGAATTCATCCACGTTTTTTGTTGTTATTACTTGTGTTGTTGTTGTTGTTTTCATGATGATAGTATTGACAAAAAGTAAAATCAGTTCTAAAATTGTTGGTCGAGACTGGAATGTGGGATGTGTCATTTGCATAGTTATCTAATACTCGGATGGTTTTATTATGCAATAACAATGCAGGGTTGTTAATTAATTGTTTCGAGCAAGATTGCGTTGAATACTTCCAATTGTTTTTGTCGGAAAATCCTAGAAGGATTCATTTTATTCAGTAATATTTCACTATGCAAAAATTTGGTATGTATTAATGATGGGGTCCGAGCGAAATTTCCGGTCGGTTGGAATCCGACCGTTGGAGTTCCGACCGAAATAGTCTGGTTACCGAAGCTCGGTCGGATCTCATCACTAGTATGTAGTAAGATTGATGAGTTTTTGATAAGGTGTTTCATTAATTGTTTGTTGGGAGAGTTGAGGATAAAGGTGGAGCACTTAGAGAGAGTGGAACAAATTATTGATGATACTGGATGCTGCTGAGAACGAAGGTTTTCATCTGTTGTTGGTAGCATTGGACAAATTATAACGTCAAGCTAATTCTTTTTATTTTCATAATTTTGCTCAAGAGAACGAATTCACTCAACAGATGATTGGTATTCATCATGAATACGTTATTTTTTTGTTGAATTAGTAAATATATTTGAGGGTTGAACTATTGTTCAGAATTGTTGATTCGATCGGTGCTTCTGTCGCGATGCTCTCTCTGACATTATGGATCGTATTAGCAGCTGTAGTGATTCTAATCGCCTTCTTACTTTACATCTACACTCGTCTACCGAAAAAAATTCCCGTTCAGTTCCGCGGAAAGCATGCCTTCATTACGGGTTGGTAAAATGCAGTCTATGAGTTGCTTTTGTTTGTATTCATCGCAATATCCATATTGCACTCATAATGACAATAAATGGGATAATGGTAATGACAAGATTTCTGACGATATTCATCTCAGGGAAATGAAATTTTGAATGATTATTGAGATTCCATCTTGCTAAAAATGTTTCAATAGAAAGAAAACGACCGATTGGCTCTAAAAATTGAAGGTGGCTCGAAAGGAATTGGCAAAGAACTGGCCATAGGACTGATTAAGCGAGGCTGCAATGTATCAATATCAGCCAGAGATGCAAAACAACTTCAGCTAACTTGCGATGAACTAAGAACAGTCGCTCAGTCAACTGCTCAGGCAAATATCTCTGCTAGATGGTATCAACTCGATGTTACTGATTCGTTTGAAAAGGTTTAATTTCGCTTCATATTCATTCAAACTTACCTTTTCTACTATGAGATTTTAGTGCAGAACTGGAAATTGATGCTCTGATTAAGGAGTTTGGTAATTTATACATTCAATACCATAGCGTTTTGAAAGCGTTTCTGGAATTTACTGAGACGTTACATCTCGTAAGTATAATTGTGCGAAGAATTTCCGAAATTGTCATGCAGTGTTAGCAGAAATGCATTTTACTCAAGGGCAGAATGCAGAGAATACCAAAAATGACAGGATATTGTCGAGTGATTGAAAAGATTTGCACGAAAGTTTATGTAATACGTTGCATTACGATTGCTCTGATATGTGATCGGTGGATGACAATAATCAGTGGGATTTGTATTTAGAATCGTTGCATGTTTTATTCCCTGTTTCATATCGTCGGAGTGACAATTATGGTTTTAACAAATATTATTTACCAACTATGCATTGGTTAATGATCTGTTTTCAGGTAGAAGCGGTGATACTGAAGGCTGAAAAAGAATGTGGTAAAGAGATCGACATATTGATAAATAACGCAGGCACTTGCATTCAAGGTGCATTCGATGAATTATCAACTGAAGCATTCCAGCAACAGTTTTCGCTGAATTGTCTCAGCTCGGTTCGTTTTTATGATTATTCACTCTTTCGTTCAGATCGTTTCAGTGATGTAAGCCCGTAACCAGGACTCTCTCTCAGATGGCACAAACTCGTCTGAAGGCAGTTACCATCCTAAGCCACTAATTCTTCCCATTCCTCAGCGAGCTCATTTGAAAAACCCTTCTGTTTTCCTGAGTCCTTGTAAAAATGCTTTCACGGGAAACAATTTTATATATCTCGGTTTATGGACCCACTTCAGTTTATGTATTTTTGATGGTCACTATAATTTTCTATACACAAATTTAAAGATCAAAACGACACATGCCTTAGTGAAACGAATGAAGTTGGCACGTAATGGCCATATTGGTTTCGTGTGTTCGGCTGCGGGACAGTTCGCGATGTTCGGTTACAGTGCGTATTCGATGTCGAAATTCGCGTTACGCGGTTTTGCTGAATCGCTCCGAATGGAACTTCTTCCCTTCAATATTGGCGTATCCCTATTATATCCGCCAAATACGAGCACCGAAGGTTATCAGGTTAGATTGTATGTCATTTTTTCCGATATTGCAGACTCATTTTAAGAGGAGCTCTCTCGTTTTGCTCTCAATACTAACGTGTTCCAGTTGAAAATTGCAGGAGGAACTGAAAACAATGCCAGATGAAGTGAGAGAAATCAGTGGTACGGCTGGTTTGTTCACGGCACGTCATGTAGCAGAATGTTACCTGAATGATATGGCGTCGGGCAATATCAGTACGAGTATTGGTTTGGAGGGTTGGATGTTAAACGCTATCGCATCTGCGACATCCATGGAGAATAATTTCCTCAGAACTTTACTTGAGGTTATTTTGTTTCGTTTCTGTTGCAAATATACATCTTGATGGATATAATGGATATAATGTGGTGGATATAATACTACGTCATAGAATGGATATAATTCAGATTTGCTGATTTAATTCAGTGGCGTTATATTATATCAGCTGAAAAGAATCGAACCTGTACTTGAAAAGTATTGATGAACATTTCAGAGTCGGCCAGAGTTCACCCTTTTCTCAATGTTTCGCGAGTTAACTTCGCGAAAATTCACATGTCAGCAAAAAGTTACTGTAAGCGATCAACAAATGATTTTGTTGCTACTTTCAGTTGATATTACTGGTGCCGATACGCATCATAATGCTAATCTATATGAGCGACGTCAACAAAATCGTCGACGAATGTCGTTCGAAACGTCAATCCTGTAACACCTCAACGAACGGTCCATCCGTAAACGGCGATTCATAACACGCACCTGCTCAACGCATAAATAAACTTGTTCTTCTCACTTATTTTGTTATCAATTTCTAACTTGTTAAGTTTCCATGCAAAAGTTGATTTTTAATATTTTGATAGTCAGAACGTCTTAGATGTATTGATTGAGATGTGAATTCGTTGTGTTTATGTGGCTTTTGTTTGTTGTGATATAGTTTAGTTCTTCGTCTGATTGTGTCTGTGTGCTAAGTTTTTGTAGCGTTATGAATAGTGATTAATGTTCTTCGTCAAATAAATACTCTCTCAATTTTCTGAATCTTTTGGTAATATTGATGCCATTGAATAAAAGCGAATGGATGAACAAACGTTCAAAAATCATCAGTATAAGCACATCATCCCAGGTTACCATGGATAGTCGATTTGTAGCGAAGCAACTAATTTATATCATCGTTTATGAAAACTCATTGTATGAATAGGACTGAGGTATAATGTTTTCCGGAAAGAACCAAAAATTTTCTCGATACGCTCCAGTTTCATTTCAGCAAACTGCTTTTATTCGTCATCAAGTGATGTCGTCCGTAGCCGAACGTCTTGATTATTTCTTCACAGCAATAACTACTTTCTGATTCATTCATTGCTCCATGAACTGTTCCGTGTGTAACACAAACGACACGAACTGAATCAGTTGAAATTTTATTCAACTGTGACAAAAAATTGCGGGTTTCCTCGAACTGTAAAATAGGATTGTTAGTATGAGTTTACTGCTAACAATAGGAGCGAGTGCCTGCCTGATAT